CCCCAAAACCCCAAAACCCCAAAACCCCAAAACCCCAAAAGATTTAGAAAAATTGAAAAAAGTCTTAGAAAATTAATATAAAGTTAAGACAGCTTTCTTTGTGCTAAAGAAACATCAATCTTAATTTTGGGAGTTTCTCTCTTGATTTTCAAAAGATTCCTTGCCAGGATATCAAAATATGAGTAAGTGTTTTCCTCCTTCGGCTTCTCTTTTTTCTGCCACAAATCAATCGTACTAGTATCACTTGAAATTGCTTTGCCATAATCAATCTTCCCATACTCATACTTAACTCCCGTCTTCCTTTGTCTAACTTCCTCCTGCTGCATTACGGACTCAGCCTTCACCACTGCAAAATCAACACCACTCATCTCCACATCTGGCTTCCTCTCTTCCTTCTTCTCTCCTTTATCTCCTAACAACCCTTTCTGTACCTCACTAAGTAAACCTCCTTCTACTTTCCTTCTCTTCATCCCTATTTCCTTACCCATTTCCTTCTTTTGCTCTCCCTTCTCTTCCTCCTTCTTCAGTACTTCCTTCACTTCTCTCTTCTTGGCCTTTGCTTCTACAGCAGAAGCAGAAGCTTCTGCTGTAGAAGCATCTTGTGAAGAAGAAGCTGCAGTAGAGGATAGTGCAGAGCTTGAAGGACGTGCAGGCAGGGTGGGTGGTTTTAAGAGGGGGAGTTTAGGTACTATAGTTTGAAGAGATATTTTTGGCATTGGTGAGGGTTTGGGAGCAGTTTGGGGTGGGGCAGAGGGCTGGCTAGGAACAGATGGAGCAGGTTTTGGGAGGTTGGTGGAGGAGGTTGGGAGAGGAAGGGTTTTGCAAGGGAAAGTGGAGGGAACTGGGGTTAGTTGGGGTTTGGAAGAAGGGAGGTGGGGTTTTGGGGTTGGAGCAGACTTGGTTATTGAAACTGGAGTTTGTTTGGCAGGTAGGGATGGAGGAGGGATTTTTGCTGGTGCTGGTTCAGGTTTGGATATAGGCTGAGTAGCCTTTTGCTGAGTATTTTGAATCTTGGTTGGCACTTGGGTTGTTGCTTTTTGTTGTCAAGGTATCTTAGCAGTTTCTTCAGAAGTACTATTTGTAACACTGCTTATCTTTGGGTAGGAAATAGACAGTGGTTTTGATGATTGGTCTAGTTTAGAAGTTGGAGGATCTTCTTTTGGTTCTGAAGATGATATCGTCTGAGCTGAAGAGGATATCGTCTGAGCTGAAGAGGATATCGTCTGAGCTGAAGAGGATATAGTCTGAGCTGAAGATACTATTACTGGATTCTGAGGTTTTGTAACAGGGGTAGAAACCTTTAGATTTTGAATCTCTTCATCATCGTCTTGATCAGAGTTGCTTTGACCTGAATTATAACCTGGACACTTTTTAATTTGCATTGCCATTTTTGCAATTTCTGCAGCTACTGTCTTCTTTTGTTCTTCTAATTCCTCTTTTGATAGACTCTTTTCGGCAGTTTTCTTGACTATTTTTGGATCTTCAGATTTAACTACTTGAGAGATCCCCTTTTGAACAGAAGAGCTTATCTTTTTGATTGAAAGAGATTCTGTTGGACTTGAAGAGCTTTCTTCCTTCTTCACGACCTCTGTTTTCGAAGGCTCATCTACTTCTGCTTTGATCTCAACCTTTTCTTTCTCTTCTGTTGGAGAAGAAATATTCACTGGGTTCTGTGACATCTCTTCAAATGGGTTTTCTTCTTTGACCATTTTGAGAAGTTCTTTGTTTCTTTCTTTTTCGGACTTAATTTCTTCGATGCTTTGTTCTTTCATGTCGGAATCTAAGAAGATGATTTCATCTTCTCCTGAGCTGCATTGTTTCTCATTAGTCTCCTGTCTGGTCTGTTCACTCTTGACACTGCAGAAGGATATAGTGTCATCTTGAGTCATCATGGGGTCTTGTTGAAGTCTGTATTTCCGATCCTCGATTGACTTATCTTCGAGTCCTGTGTCGAACGAAAATGGTGGGCTTGATGGTTTCTCACTGTTTTTGTTGGATGGTGAAGTTTCCTTTTCAATTTCTGGTTCATCCAAGAATACAGAGGTATCAGGCTGTGTTTTGGTGTTAGAGATCCTATTTAAACTTTCCTGAGTTTTGGGTTCAGGTTTAGCTGGAATAGTGTTGATCATGTCTGTCTGAATTGGTTTGGTATCGCTAATCTCTGGCTTTTTTAAGATGGTCTGAGGGGCATCTATCTTTTCGCCTTTTATATCCCCACCTAAATTGGCTAATTGAATAGGAGATCCATTAATACTGCTCGAAATTGTGGACTCAGAGTAATCATTGAGCAGGTGCTGGTTTGGGTTAGTTGATCATTGTTGTCCCTTTTTCATATCTTCTTTCGCCTTGTTAAAGGTATAGGATACCTTGAGAATCTCACCAATGAGAGAGTTAAATATGACTTTTTCTTTATCTTTCAAATAGTAGATAAAACTCTTTTTATCCCTAAGCATATCAACGATAGTCTTGAACTCAGAAGTGTTTGTTTCAGTTATGTTGGCCTTCCATAAATCTTTAAGTTTTCCAGTGAGAAACTTGAAAGTCTCGTATACAAAAGTTTCACTCTTTTGTTTGTTGAACTGGTCAGTGCTGAGCAGAGCATCATTGTCTGGGCTAAGAGTTCTCTTCAGTAAAGTGCTGAATTCCTGGAAAGTTCTTTCTCCAGTTTCTTTTCACTGCATCTTTAGCTTGATCATGGTTAACGAGTCTCAGAATGAATCTGTGTCAATGTTTTTGTAATTCATGAAAAGTTTTAAATTAGTGGAATATGCTCGATTTGTGGGGCTAGATGTAAGCGAATGCTTATTTATTAGGTTCTATCAATTTTAATCACCAGTATGTGAACTTCCCAGATTTCAAATTTTGGGAAAATAAGGTGTTTGATCATAGATTTAGTACAAACTTTATGATTTGAAGAATATTGATATGTGAAAAGAAGAAAAGTGTTTCACTGATTGAGAGAAAAATTAGATAATAAAAATTTAAGTTTGATAAAGCAGAGTGTTTTCTATCAGCATATGACACGAGAAATATAAAGTGAAAAAGCCTTTATCTCAATCACCCAATATAATTATTATTATTTTTACTAGGTAACTCGACAGATTTCGCGATGAAAAATTTAGTGGCAAAACCATACAAGTCTCTAGGACGATGCTTTAAGTTATTCAACCAACAAAAAGGATATAAATTTTCAATAATTCTAAAATTGAAGGGGTTTTGGGGTTTTGGGGTTTTGGGGTTTTGGGG